ACCCATAACTCAACCCAAATTGGGGAGTAACATCATCACACAATGATAATCAATAAAATAACAAGGCCAATTTCATCTCTATAATACAATTCATCTTTAGATCACAACTTGAGACAAGATACATAGGCTAATTTCACATTATAATTCATAACATAAATCACATCTCAAGAACTAGCATGATAGGACTATAATTCATCTTAATTTGACCATAATAACACCACAAGATAGTAATCTAATCAACAATCAACTCAATTGAATGATCACAAAACAATATAGATCAAGATCACTACCTAGGTTTTAGGATAGAGGATCATGTTCTTCAATTTAGACCAAACCATCAAGAATTACCATAAACAAGTTGAATTACATATTAATCTACTCAATATAACCCCTAAAAATTCATCAACAACTCAATCCATAACTTCAATTTCGTAATTTAATGAAACCCATAAGAAAACTCAACTTTTTGAAATCTATTTTGAAAGAACCCTTTGAGTAAAAGATCTCAAAGGTGAATAGAACCCATACCTTAATGTTTCTCAACAATCTAATGAAGAATGTACCCTTTTCCAGCCCCTAAACCCTAGTTCTTGCTAGCCTTCAATGGTGAGTTCATGTAGAGAGAGAAATAAGAGAGAAGGGAGAGAGTTTATTTTGAGAGTTGTCTTTAGGTTAATGAGGGTTAAGGGTATTTATAGAGGGACTTAATTAACTTAATTAGTTTCCATTTAGTCACTAACTAACCCCTAAACCACTTAATTAATTTAAATGAAATCATTAAAATTCATTAGTGAAATTCGACCCTCACCGATGAACCCCGATCGACGGTCCATCAGTGAGTCGACGGATGACCCCCCTCCATACTGCACTTCCATCGTATCTATCAGAGACTTTGCAAGCGAGGGATTCCTCCAATTTTTCTAAGTATGGGGTGACGGTGGCCTCGATGCCTCGTCGAGCCAATGACAGCTCGTCAACCCCTTTCATCGCGAGTAACAGTAGCTAGGTAAACAAGGGCCTTCACGAATCTATCTAAGTGTGAGAAGACGGTTGCATCAACTCCCCGTCGATCCACTTATAGACCGTCGTCTGCCCCGTCGATGCACACTGCCAGGCAGTTCTGCATCAACCTGTAGGGATCCTCCTCAAGGACCCTTGGTTGGTCCTTGGGGAGTCGTACCCAGACGTTTCAATCATGAAATAACTCAAACACCCATTAGATACCTTTCCACCCATTTTCGTACATTTTCGATTCCGAAAAGTTAGTAAAAGGCTAAGGCACACTAACATCTCTTTGAACCAACTTCCCGAACGTCTTTGGACGTTTTGGTTCTTAAACCTTCTAAATGACCTATACTCATTAAAAATGGACATAGAAACAGTGTTTAAAATTTAGACACCTATGTTAGGATTTACCATGAGTCTTGGAGTTTCAAGGTGTTACAGTCACAATTCTAGATCACCAACAATCTATAGACTATAGTACACGAAAAAATCAATAAAATAGGGTTTACCTGCTTCGTGGATCATTTGACCTTGAGAATGGACCGTTGTTGCCGTTAGGGGAAGTGAATCTATAACTAACGTCTTAATAGGCGTAAAAAAATTGGGCAAAAAGAGTTGGAATTATGGATCACTAAAAATTCATAGAATATAGCACATGAAAGTCGGTAAAATGGGGGATTTACTTGCTTAAGGGCTCATTTGACCTTCAAACAGGGCCATTTTGGTCGTCAAGGCTAACTGACTTCATAGCTAACATATTAATGGACATCGAAGCAAAATTTTATGCCAAAAATACGTCCAAATTAGGGATCACCAAAAACGATCATGGACTATAGCACACGAAAATCGACAAATGAGGGGTTTACTTACTCCAGGGATTGTTTAACCTTCAAAATAGATCATTTCGGTCATCAAGGCCAACTGAATCCATAGATAACGTCGTAACGGATGTCCATGATATGGATGACTCTATATAGGTTCCATCTATAGAGTCAATTCTAATGGTATGTGAGTTCTAAGTCTTTCTCACTGATTTGCCTTAAATGCATCTGAATCGATACATTAGCTGTAATATTTGTTTGGGGCGCTCGTCCTATTTCCATCTCTTCCCTTATAGGATGTCACCAACTGAACTTAAAGAGCTAAAGTTTTAGTTTTCCTATTTTTAAGTAATGGATTCATTTATCCAAGTGCTTCCCCATGGGTGCTAATGGTTTCTTGTTATTAATAAGAAAGATGAAAGTTTACATATGTGCATAGACTACCTATAGTTGAAAAAATTTATAATTCGTAAAAAGTACTCATTGCGAAGGATAAAAGATTTATTTGACCGTACATGGTTCTCCAGTCTTCTCCAAGATTGATTCGAGATACGACTACCATCAGCTAAAAATTTAGGCTAAAGACATTCCTAAGATTTCCTTCCATACTTAATACATGCATTATGAGTTCTTGGTGATGTCTTTTGGACTGACCAACAACTTGGCTACCTTCATAGGTTGATGAATAAGGGTTTACGCCTTATATGAAATCTCTTGTGATCATATTTATTGATAATATCCTCATTTATTCTAAAAGTAAAGAGGAGAGTAGAGACAGTTTGAGGATAATGTTGGGCTTGCTCAGGTAGAAGAAACTTTATGCTAAATAATTGAAGTGTGAGTTTTGGTTGCCTTTGATGAAGTTATTCGCCTCAATCGCCTCTCATATGACCCACCTGACTGAAATAGAGATTTTAGTCATGTGGTTTGACGAATGTGAGAAGAGCTTTCAATAATTTAATACTTTGTCGACCACATCTCTTATCTTACCTTGCCGGTGGAGGTCAAGGATTTAATTTTTTATTGTGATGTCTCATGTTTTAGGTTAGGTGTTGGATTAATACACAAAACAATTGTTCCGCTTATGCCTCAAGATTTCTAAGGTGCACAAGAAGAACTAACTGCATCACGACTAGGATTTGGCTGTTGTACCTTTTACACTTAAAATATGAAGGCATTACTTGGATGAAGTTCGTTGTGAAGTGTTTACTGACCACCACAATTTGCAACATATTTTCACCTATAAAGAGTTGAACTTGAGACAACATAGATGGATGGATTTGTTGAAGAATTATGATATCACTACTTTCTACTATCCATGTAAGGCTAATGTGGTATAGATTGACCTAGCGTGTCCAGCAGTTACCAGATAATTGTTTGCAAGGGAGATTAAAATCGTGGCTAACAATTTGATGCGACATGAAGTATCTGAAATAGGGTGGATTGTTAGCCAAGGTAGATACATGGTCTACATTCCTAAATCAAATTAAGGACAAACAATTCAAAGATGTAAAGTTGGGAAAGATTCGTGGAAAGATGGTACAAGGTAAGGTTTGATTCTAAAAGTGTTTTGCATGTCAAAGAGCAATTTTATATGACCCAAGTTGGTGAACTGATATGTATTATCTTTGATAAGGCTCATAGCTCAAGATACTTTATACATCGTGGTGCAACTAAGATTTATTGCTACTTGAGACAATATTACTGGTGGGTCATATGAATGATACAATGGATTTCGTAGCTAAGTGTCGGAACTTCTAGCAAGTGAAGTATGAACATGAGAAGTTGGGTGGTACTCTTCAGTGAATGCCTATTCTGGAATGAAAGTGGAAAAGAATAGTTAAATTGATGGAGCCTTCTCCTATTGAAGTATCAATCAAGGGACATACTTTTTCATATTCTCCGATATGTCTTTCAGTTAAATTGATGAAGCCTTCTCACATTGCTTGAAACTTGATGGAGGAGACTCAATTTTTTTTTCTTGAAGGCTAGTTTGATTTGGGACTTTAAATTGGGTTTGTAAAAGTATTTAAACAGAAAGGGTCCTAGTTCGAAATCTTAGGTGAATGCCACATCAAGTGCTATATCAACATAAATATGTATTTGTTAAGTAGAAGGGTATTTATGGTCCCTTGGCTAACATCAAGGGTAACTTTGCTACCAAAATTAAATAAAAAGTATGTGATGTTCAATTTTAATAATTTGAGAATATTTTTTTTGGCAACTTTCACATATAGCAAACAAAAAATTCATATTTGTATGCTATAGCAAAGTTTGCATAATTGCGCTCCATAGCAAACATAAAACTGTATAATTCGTTGGCCTAAATTGTATAATTCGCTGGCCTATTTCACTGCAATTGTATAATGCACAATTGTATAATTCGCTGCCTATTTCGCTGCAATATTTTTATAAAATTTACTTTGCATACAATTGAATCGAATTAAAATGTATTTATATTGCATAATTATAAGTGTATAGCAAGAAGATATATGTTTTTCTCTCGCTTTATACAAAAACAGAAACACATATATACACTTTTGTTGTATAAAGCTAGAGAAAATTGTATTTCACTACAATTGTATAATTCGTAATTGTATGATTCGTTGGTCTTTTTCACTGCAATATTTGAAGTAAAATGTTTGTAAATTATATAATTAAGTGTATAACACGAAGATATATATTTTTGCATGTGTATATACAATTTTCTCTCGCTTTATACAAAACAGAAACAAAATTTATACACTTCTGTGTATAAAGCGAGAGAGGCGAGCAGAGGGAGAGTGGCGAGCGAGATTTTTGGGAGAGAGACACCTGACAAACTTTGGCTAACGTTTGCTATGGAACACAATTAAATCAAACCCTAGCTACTCCATTTATTTTAGGTTATTAGTTTGCTATTATATATAATTTTTCCTATTTTTTATCGTTTTCTGTTTATTAAAAGTAAATTTAAGATATTTTTATTATATTAATTTATCATATACTTCAAGAAAATCAGACAAATATTTAACCTAAGTTTTTTGTGATGCGTTGAAACTTTAAATTCTTCTGAGAACACTATTAAGGTAATAAATAATTTCAATAGTTTTATATGAACAAAAAATATGTGATGAAAGAAAAAATAAAATAAATTTATATATAACTAAGAATATAAATACCAACTAAACTAATGTTTTGATTGGTTGAAAATGTAGGATTATGTCTAGTGAGGTTAGTTTTCTCTTCTCTCGTATCTTCTCAACATCAAACTCACCATTTTCTCTACTTCCTTTGCTCCATCATCTTCCATCCATGTCGATTTCGACCAAAATTCCTCATCCTCTCCATCACCCTAATTCACCATACCCCAAATCCTCAAAATCCTCTTTTTTATACTCAAAACCCACTAAATTAGCCTTCTTTAGATCCATTACCATCGAAAGAATTTCAACAAAATCTGTTTCTGCAACCCCAGCAGCAGCAGGAGAAGCTTCTTCTTCATCTCTCCAACCCATTGAAGAGCTTCCAACGAAGCTTCAAGAAATGGTCAAGCTTTTTCAAGCAGTTGAGCAACCAAAGGCTAAGTACGAGCAACTGTTGTTTTATGGCAAGAATTTAAAACCACTCGATGCCCAGTACAAGACTAGTGAAAATAAGGTTCAGGGTTGTGTTTCACAGGTTTGGGTTAGGGCGTATTTTGATTCTGAGAAAAATGTTGTATTTGAGGCTGATTCTGATTCGGTACTTACTAAAGGTCTTGCTGCTTTGTTAGTTCAGGGACTTTCTGGAAGACCTGTAGAAGAGATTTTAAAAGTTTCCCCTGATTTTGCTGTACTTTTGGGGTTGCAACAAAGCTTAACTCCTTCTAGGAATAATGGGTTTTTGAATATGTTGAAGTTAATGCAGAAAAAAGCACTTCAATTGTATGTTGAAGAAGCTGAGAAAGGTGCTAATTCAGGGCAGAGTGAAGTATCAAATGCCTCGTCGACTGAGTCTCTTGGTGTTAATGGTAATGGAAATGTGGAGTCTGTAGCCAGTCCTGAAGTTAATGGAAACAATGTTGCTGTTGGTGCTAGTGATGATGGTGTTTTGAGGAGTAGAGGGATGAGAATCAAGCAGAAACTGGAGAAGGAACTTAGGCCTGTGGAACTAGAAGTTGAAGATATATCTTATCAGCACGCAGGACACGCGGGGATTAGAGGTAGTGATGGAGAGACACACTTTAATTTAAAAGTGGTGTCAGAGGAATTTGAAGGTAAGAGTTTGGTTAAGAGGCATAGGATGATTTATGGTTTACTGCAAGATGAGTTGCAGAATGGACTACACGCTTTATCAATTGTGGCCAAGACGCCGTCTGAAGTTGGTAGTAGTTGAATTGCTGGCGTCAAGAGAGGTCTGGTTCTTTTTGTCGTGTAAACTTTTCATCCTTGTGGAATTTATTGAAACTTATACCTCATAATATCTTGTAGCATAAAATCCTGAGAAGTGGATAGACGCGAAGTCTTTTTTGTCGCGAGAATCTTAATAAAATAGTTTCAGGATTTTAAACTATAGTTTTCTTTCCTCCCAAGAGTCATTTCAATACCTCTGTGACGCACTTGGACCTGCTAATCAACTTCAAGAATGATAAACTAGCTACTTGGAGTGCCATTATGAAAATTTTATCCTTATCTTGTACAACGATGACACAATTTTTTTTCTAATTTCAGCTCAACTTGATGAAATGCAATTACAATTATCCTTTATAAGTAACTCTACTTTGTTAGGCCTTTCACGTTTATGGTAACTGCAAAAATTATTATTTTTATGTTTTAAAAGGGTTTTAATATAAATTCATGGTATATCTAAAGAAGTTTACCTCTAGTGAACTATGCTTCTGGTTTCCTTGAACCGAAGAGATCTAAATAATCTATCACATTCCATGGGAGATGATATTTCCTAGTTGCATTAATTTTGTGATCTGGGGGACTCATAAAAGCTATAGAAGGATCTGTGAGATGTCACTCTTTTCTCTAGCGACAATGCTGGGAATTTTCTTAAACATCAGGTGGCAAAGTGATGCCACAGACCGTAAAGATATTGTTTGTAGAGCAGCAGGCCTAAAGAATATCCAGAAAGTTGAAGCAGATATGGAGGACACTCCATTGTGCATATTTTGGACTTCATGGTTGGAAAGGACCAAAGCTTTCTTTGAAGGGCATAGGGATCACGTTTAGAATTAAGAATAGATGTATTCATAATCTATATTATTTGGTGTAAATGCAATTCTTTGGTGTATCTGCATCAGTTTTTCGATTTCGTGGATTTGTTAGGAGGGTTGTCCAGTGTGTGCCTGTTCTGGGATGTTTTGCTTTGTACTTGCCTGTACCTTCTTTGCACCTTATCAATAAACTTTTGCCTCTTTTTGTTTTATAACAATTTAATTCTGAAGAAACAATATATAGAAATAAATACTGTAGGGAGGTGCTCAGGATTCTCTAGAAAGAAATTATCTATATGGTGCCCTATTATTCCTCGAGGAATGGTATATTTTGGTGGTCAGAATCACGAAGCACAATGTATCATAGGTTGATAGTATATCTTTTTGGATGCATCAGCCTCCTTCAGGCTTTGTTTCCGCAGGTTGTATAGCCTGAAAAGGAGCACCAAATCAATCTGATTTTGGTTCCTTAAGATGCACCCGCAGTGATATGGTTCCTGGTGATCAATTTTTGGAACAAAGTATTTGGGATACATCTGATGCCAAATTCATGAAGAAGCCCTTTAGTTTATGGGTTATTGCATATGAGTTAGGACATTTCGAAGTGGTCTCAAGAAGTCTCCAAAGAGGCTTGCTGTTCGAGATATGGCTAGTGGTCTAAGTGATATGGTGGTTGACACAGAAATCTGAACATTCTCTGCAGCCCCTTTTTGATGAATATGGTGGCCTGGTAAACAATTTATGCTTTCCAATAGCTTTAATTTCTATTTTATGCTGCACAAATCTAATTTCAAAATTTGTTACATTAGGTGTCTATTGATAGGATAAACTGCAACTGTTTGAAGATACTTCTACTAGGTTATATAGACGCATGCAACCTCCAAAACGTTTTCAGTTCTACTTGCATTACTAGATGGTTCTCATATTTGGCATCTCCTTGTGATAATATCAAGAATACATATATGATCGCCTTTGATATAGTAGCATGTAAATTTTCCAATTTCCTGACTTAAATTTTTGGTTGAGCTGTCAGAATCAGTTTTTTTGGGGTAACTAACTTGATTCAAGTACTAAACCAGCAAGTAGGTACAAAGTATGCCCCAGTGTTGGACAAACAAGCTCCAAACACTGTGATTGAAAAGAGCAAAATTACATCAAGAACTCTAATCTCAAAAATATTACCTAAGGATAGTAATTAAGAATGTCCTAGACTCTAGTCCAGAATGCAAACTAGGAAATAGAGAGCCCCTGCAGTGAATTGCTTGAGTAGCCAGTCTTATGAGTATTTCAGGGCTTCTACTTTTCATCTGAAACAGTCTTAAGTTCTTCTTGTGCCACACCAAGTAAAGATAACATGTAACGGATAATCTGTAAAGAGCAGCTTGTACTGAGTTGCCTTTGGCATGAGCAATAGCCCACATCATTTCATCCTTCCATTCCACAGATGATCTTTGAATGCCTAACCATAAGAGATTCATCCCAGATAGTTGCTAAGTAATGACATTTGAAGAATAAATGATCCAGACTCTCATCATTGTTGGTTGCAAAGGGATAAGACAGGTCATGTGTAGGACTCCATTTTGCTAATCTGTCTCTAGTCAGAAACCTTTTCCATACAGCCAAATACAGTAAAAACTTCTCTCTAGGGGCTCCATGGTTTTTAGTAATCTCCTCCATCTACCCTTGTATAGTCACCTCAATTTACAATCGTTTGTGCTGAATTTAGTCCTGAGGGTGACATCCTGATCCTCATAGCCAGCTATTTCCAGTTTTCTTTTGGTATTGAGGATCTTCTTAATTGTCCATGATGCTCGACTATCATTCACATCCCAAACACTTCCACCTTTGATTTAGTATGCATGGACCAGTTGGATCCATATCATGTCCTTTTTCAAGCACAGATTCCAGAAGTGTTCACTAATAGCAGTTCAATTCCAATCAGTTATGTCAAATAAGCCAAGGGCTCCAGCAGTTTCCAGCTTATTTTGAGAAGTTTCTCTTATCAAAAGTGCTTTTCAATAAAGTGCCTTGGGAGGTACCCAAAGTGTGGTCTAGTGGTCAAGAGTCATGAGGTCTCAGGTTTAACTCTCAGTGGAGACAAAAGCACCAGGTGATTCTTGTCATCTGCCTTGGTAGATAGAGTTACCTGGTACCTGATGCTGGTGGGATGTGACTGGTATCCTGTAGAACTAGTCAAGGTGAGAGAAAGCTGGTCCGGACAGCATGGTCTAAAAGAAAGTGCTTCGGGAGAGTCGCAATTTGTGATTACTGTCAAACTACAAAAAAGGATATGCATATAAGTTGTCAACTATTTTTGATATGGGTATTCTTGTCGTAAATAAATTCGAAAGTACTTATTTTTAGGAGATGCTACATTTTTCTGCCGATGCTTCAAACTGAAACAGAACTTCTGCTACTATTCAAAAACACTTATTTATAGTGAAACTATAAGAAGTGCTTTTATTGAAAAATAAGCACTTCTCATCTTTCAAAGTCTTGGCCAAACAGGTTATGAATGCTTCTACGTGCTTTTTGTTACTCTGGATTACGTTGATACTTGACAGAGTATATGCATTATCAATTTACCTCTTACTGTTCTACCCAATTTGCAGATGGTTCTTCTGTGTAATGTGTCTTTCAGTAACATAACTTTCAATTTACATCAAAGGTCTAACTGTCTGAGTTCCAGCATAACCTTTTCCTTGGCTGCTAGATCATACAATGATAAGTATGACTCTCGGGAGCCTCTTTTGGAGCCGATTGACAGATTATTGAAGTTTTTCTTCAATTGGCTTTTGTAAATATCCCAGCGCTTCTTTCATTGTTAATGTAACAGTTCCACTAATCAGTAATCCTTGCTTTGGAAACTAATTTTAGGACCAACCATGAACATCGTGTGAAATGTTATCTTCCTTGTCATGTTTCTTGTATGGAACTACTGATTGATTATATGCAAGTTATTTGACTTCATTTGAATTATTTATTTGGTAGACAGAGATTAAGTTCAGGTGCACTTCAGTAACCTTCTTTTCAGCCTTGTTATTTTGTATCACAACTGTGGACTGAACTGCAACTTGCTATTCTATTTTGATTTGTGTCTGTATTAGAAGCACAGAACCTTTAGCCAAATCAGTCCTATTTTGAATTTTGTGACTGTTTTTCTTTAGCTGCTTCTTTAGTCAAATCAATCTTTGCTTTGTGGGATGTCTACTTATCAGTGAATATGACTCCGAAATGCAAGAGAATACAATAAACCCCTACCCTCTACTGGATGTCAACAACGATGAGGACACAGCTCCTAACTTGTGGTATCGTCGTGGGTAGCACTTATGCTCAGACTCTAGGAAAGAAGACAACAACTGACAGGTATCATCGGCCTCCCTCCATACAATCATATTCTTTTATCAGTACATATATCGCCACACGTACATCATGATGTTCGATCACCTGCCTGGTCGATTAGGGAGTATATCTTTTCTCAATATGAATCAAAATCATTGCTAGCAAGCCCCATATACAAGCAGACGAACAACTTTTGTCTCATTGTAGAGTACTAGTAGAGGAAGAAGAACGATAAATTGTATGTATTTTACATGTTGGGTTTATGTTATTTGTATGACCAATATATGAGTGGACATAAAGAGACAACACCAAACGCAAAATACATTTTTATTTTTTAAAATTTTTGTATATCAATGTTATGTTTTTACCCCAATTTTATATCTTACAGATAAAAATTTCGAAATTCATATGCTCAAATATTTCAAAACCGTAATATTTGTATCATTTCACTTGAGTTATATGATAGTCAGCCAACACATTCGCATACAATGTATATGTTGCCACAAGACGACCTTAGGGATGACAATGAAACGGGGCAGCACGAGTTTGATTGAGCTTTAACGTTTGTTAATAATTAGGTTCCTATTATATATATAGGTGATATGAACTTGATAAATTTAAGAAATAACGTTTCACAAGTTTAAAAAAATCACACCCAAAATTGCAAAACACAATTTTCTTTAAAAAATTATGTAAGGCGGATCTACATAGTGCAGAGCAGAGGATTAAAAATATATTCTTTTGTTATATGAGACAAGGAGGAGTAGATTAAAATCTTCGTGATTTTGCATGAATTTGTCTTCCCTGCTCCATTATCATCCCTAATTGTAGCATAAGTTCACATTGAATCAATGTAGATTGATGTATAACCGTTGTCCCCTACAAGCACAAGTCCACATTGAAATTTGAATCACTTTAGCATTTAAAACATGTGTATTGAAGGAAAACACAAAAATAAAAAGTTTGGTCTCCATTAATAATTTTTAATTAATTAGGTTGTTTTGATCAAGTTTTTTGGAGGTTAAAAATGTTTTTTTTTTTCAAAACAACATTATTAGATACATGTCATTATATAAAGTTCAATTTTGAAACCGAAAGGTACAGAGCATTGATTTCAAATACGTATAGAGGATCTTAATTTCTCAATTACGCTCAATCCATCCAATAGTTTAATTTTTTTTTTTATATATATTCAATAGTTAT